TCGACTTTGTTTATGGCTCAATCTAGATTCTGATATCATAATTTCAGTTTTGTCCCAAAATCAAATACATTGCATTTATTCATGGTTATTCGAGATGCATACAAAGATTTTGAGATTCTCAAAGATCATCAGAAGCAGAATCAACAATGGGATGCCAGAACCTGTTGTAAAACCACATGGTGTCAGCCTCCACGGCGTAACCATCCTGGTTCCTATGCCATCCATAGTGCGCGTGCGTCCTGTTCTTTATCGAGAATATTGCGTGCCCGAAGCTTGCTTCTCTGAAGGCAGAGTACTTAGGCTGAGGCTCAGTCATTCTGTAGAAACCATAGTATCACACATTTAGAATCTGAATCTAATTAAAAAGAAAAACAAAATTGTTGCAATGAGCACAAGTGTTTATAGCTTACTTGGTGGCCAATCCCTCAATATTGCCTCCATCACCAATTGTAATGTAAACCGGAGCAGATTGATCTTTGACAGGAGCGCAAATTCCGTTAACTATGTTGTATGCTATGTTCGATATGCGTTCCTGGTTTTACAATATTAGCTCATATTCCTCAAGATCAATAGTTTAAAGAGACATGAGGAGCCAAAGTTATTGATCTTACTGATCTTTCGTAGGCGTGGACGTGACCTGCGAAAACAACATCTACTTTGTTTTTGACAAACCACGTCTCGTACATCACTCTCATGGTTTCACCTTCCATGTAATGATAATCATAGCTGTTGTACCACGGCGAATGCATCAGAACAATCAACCACGGAGTTTCCGTTCTGTTAACCTTTGGGAACTCCTCTTCGAGCCATGTGTATTGCGGCGTATATTTACCTGCACAAGAAAAAATGGGAATATTCAATTAGTCCTGGTTTAAGAATATGGCACGAAAAGGTTCAAGATTTTTAAGACGCCTTACCATATGCTGAGTATGAAGCTAGCACAATTATGTAAGCCGGTCCTCTCTTAATCGAGTACCAGAATGGTTCTGTACTGCCTGATGATCGGTAAGGAGTACGGTACCTATGCGTGAATGGCTTAAACGGTTTGGTTTCGCCCTACAAATTGCATATAACAATCCATTTCAAACCAATCCTAAGAAAATGCTGGTAATCACCAACACTTACAAAGATGGAGAACAATGCTTATGAAGTAAGAAGGTTTACAATCTCGGGAGCAAAATCGAGTTCATGGTTTCCCGCAGTCCAAATCCAGGGCTGATAAGCTGTGCTTCTTTCAACAAATCTTCCCCAACTATCCCATCTCCTATTGTCGTGATTCGGATATTGATCAGCGTATGAGAGATCCCCTACAAACAAAACGGCTTGCCCTTTTGTTGAACCCTTCTCATAATGTGTTAAGGTTATGTTTGAGTCAAAAGTCTGCCCAAGATCCCCTGCAAAACAGCAATTTGCAACTCAAGTTCCAAGTCCATGGAAAGCTAATAAATTTTCTTTTTTGTTACCAAAATGAACATGTTTCAAGACAATTACCAATAAGACCAAACGTGTAGGGAACATCAGGACCAACTTCAGGAGGAGTGAAGAACCAGAACTTACGCTCCGTTTGTCCTACACCAACCATATAATAGTACTTGGTGTCATACTGCAAAACAGAGAAGGACAAAATCAGATAACAATAATAGCAAAAAATTGTGACAATGATGATGATTTCACCTCCAAGTTTCTGATGGGACAATGATGTATGTAACCAGAAGTATAATTGTAATACTTGTAAGTGTTGGATTTGCCTTGAGCTTTGTACTTTTTGGAGCTATTCTCTTTCCAGTAAATAACTGTGTTAGATCCTAATGCTTCTTGTGTCACCCAAGACACTATCACTGCCTTTCCTTCTACATCTCCTTGTGTTATATGCACCTTTTTTCCAAAAAAGAACCATTTTTTTTTTAACAAAGAAGAAAAGAAAATTTGGCATCTTTATAAACTTCCAATAAGCAAAAGCTTGTATCAAACAGAATCTGACCAATAAATACCTTTTTTTGCCTTTAGAAACACAAAGCAAATAGTGAAGTAGAATATTAAATTGGAAAGATAACTAAACACCCACCTAACAACACTTAGCAAAAGAAAAGCTTCGAAATTTAATAATTTATAAACAGAACCCACAACCAAAAGATTGTTGATTTTGCAAGTTGTACCTGTTGAGGAGCATTATAACCAGGAGGAACACGAAAAACATCGCTATCAAGCGGCATATCAACAGTTTTCTCGACTTTCCTGACAAAGCTACTGGTTTGGCCTCCATTACAGAACAACACGAAGCTGTTCAAGACCAAACCCAGAACAAGAAGAAAGGAAAATAAATCGAATCTTCGGACAGGACCCATTTTCTTGTCGAGTTTTTTTTTCCTATAAACAAGGGAGAAATCTTTCTATTTAAAAGAAGAAATAGGTTACAATCTATATTGACTTGAAGAACGGAATATTCGTTATTGATCTTAGAGGATCGAACCGTGTCAACTCTGCTCCGATCGTGTTTTTCGAATAATATTTTTTCATATCTCCTTCTTGGTCTTTGTGTTGACCTACTAATGATAGCGACATTGGCATATGTGAACACTTGGGATATTTTAAGTTGATAATCTGTTCCGGTCACACGAATCTATG